TTTCGAAACTTCAAATGCAGTACTACCTGTAGCTTTAAATCGCTGTAAAATAATATATTTATAAAAAAATTGATTATCACAACTTCCTGCAAACTATTCGAAAATTGACCCTACAAAAGTTTAGGCACTTATACAGAGGGTCTGCAAACCCATATTATTACGCAATGACCTTTTACTTCTCACTATATCCCTCTTCTCTAATCGATAACTTTTAGCTAGAAACTTCTGAAGCAAAGCATTTGATCCATAGTCTGCAAAATCCCTTTTAGTCCTCATAACTTAGCCTACCTCAAGGAGGTCACCTATAGGCTTACTTACTGACCGCATCCTGGTCAGTAGTGTTTACCTAAGGATTCGCGTCGGCTCAACCTCAAGCTACCGCTCCCTCATTGGGCAAATAACGTCACTGAGCATTCTGATGTGTTGTCTTCGCCAGATCAAATAATGCAAAGATTGTGTAAAGACTACGGTAAGCAGCAAGTTGTTGGTTAGGTCCGGGCACTTTGAATACAATTTAATATTAGGATATGAATTAACATTGAAAATACTTGCCTCAGTATTTGCTATTTCTGACTAAAACCTGTCCAACTACTACTGCACATAGCATCTTTTTTTAAGAACTGATTGCTGGTTCTTTAGAAGTCTATTATTGCTAAATAGACTCAAATAGTAAAAAAAAAACCTTGATAACCTGTCCATCTTGTGAAAATTCAATGCTCAACCTCAAAAATACTCAATTCTTTGGACTTGAAGGCTTTTTATACAATGAGATATTGTTCAATGGTAACGGGAATCGATTACCTACAAATAATGATGATAGCACTGTTCTTCTCAACATTCCATCCGGTTGAAATGCTTGAAGTAATGATTGGAATGAAATACAGCTTATAGAATATTTCTGTGCTGGTGTTAAGAGAACAAGATCCTCATTGGGTAAGACAGCATCGGCATCGATAGTCAGCTCTACGATCTACCGTGGCCCTTTAAACAAGTTCAAAAGTGCTTTTTCAACTAGTTATCTTTCCAATCTGCAGTAATATTTAGAGCTTCTAGATTTTTCCACATAATGAGCTCTTATTTTGCTTATACATTATAAGCACGTTTATTTTTGGATTTTTCAAATAAAAAGAATAAAGACTAACCTATAAACTAGGTTCTAGTTTCCATTTAAAAAATTAAAATTCAACTCAGTGCTTC